CTCCCTACTTGCAACTAGACATTTTGTCTAGAATAGTCAGGTGCAAGAGGGACAAGGCATTTTTGTAAATCTTACAGAGACCCTTTATATACTCATGGGCCACCTTAGGAAGACTCAGCAAGCTGTGTACTCAAGCAAGTAGTCATTATCTTATGATTTAGGACCAGGTTAATCCTTTTAAGAGAATCCAGGTGGCTAAATAGAATTAAGTTAGAATTTCCTAGGGCGCTTTTGCCCAGGTTTCCACATGGAAGGTGTACTAACTAGGCTGCCTGGATTTGTCATTAGGGGAAAGAAAGAAGCATCATGCCAGGAATGCTCAGGGCAGAATCCCAAATTTTCAAAATAGGTTAAAAAAAACCCGTCATGCATTTCTTTTTCGTCGTTGTCTTTTTTTTTTTTTTTTTTTTTTTTTTTTGGTGGCAGGGTCTCGCTCTGTAGTCTTGGCTAGAGTGCAGTGGCACGATCTCAGCTCACTGCAACCTCCGAGGCCCAGGTTCAAGCAATTCTCTTGCATCAGCCTACTAAGTAGCTGGGATTACAGGCACATGCTACCTCAACTGGCTAATTTTTGTATCTTTAGTGCAGACAGGATTTCACCATGTTGGCCAGGCTGGTCTGGAACTCCTCAACTCAAGTAATCTGCTGTCCTCAGCCTCCCAAAGTGCTGGGATTGCAGGCGTGAGCCACCCCGCCCGGCTATTTCTTTTCTCTTTTTTTTTTTTTTTTGTTTTGAGACGGAGTCTCTTGTTGCCCAGGCTGCAGTACAATGGCATGATCTTGGCTCACTGTAACCTCTGCCTGCCAGGTCCAAGTGATTCTCCTTCCTCAGCTTCCTGAGTAACTGGGATTATAGGCGTGCACCACCAGGCCCAGCTAATTTTGTGTTTTTTTTTTTAGTAGAGATGGGGTTTCTCCATGTTGGTCAGGCTGGTCTTGAACTCCCGACCTCAGATGATCTGCTCGCCTCGGCCTCCCAAAGTGTTGGGATTACAGGTGTGAGCCACTGCACCCGGCCCCGGCTATTTCTTTATGCTGTTTTAAAGCCTTGAAGTCAATGGAATTTAATTTTTATACATAGTAGTGAAACAGGAAAGGTTCCCTTGCCCCCCTCACAGGGTGTGTGATGGGATCGTAGCTCGCTTCTTTAGTGCCCCGTGCTCAAACCTGTAGGGGAACATACAGACGGGCAGGCTGTGGGGCTCCCACTCCACAGCAGTGTCTAGGGGTGAATGTTTACGGCTGAAGCCCCAGTGGGTTTGTGTTACAGGGTGCTCTTTCAGTTTAACTGTCCATAGGCAGCTTGTGTTCGTCAGCTCAATTAGATCCCCTTGCCTTATCACAAGCACAGAGGGCTTTCTGTATCCCAAGATTTTTGCCTGGGTATACTGGAAGAATTTGATCACATGTAGGCTTGGAGAATTAGTGCAGGGTTTTATTGAGTGGAAGAAGCTCTCAGCAGATGGGGGAACCAGAAGGGAGATGGTTTTCCCCTGGATTTGGGCCACTCGGCGGCCTGTCTCTTTGACTGCCCTGACCAAACTCCGCATTATTTCGCCAGGCGATGGCCTGCTGGCATGCCGGCCTGCTGGTGCCTGTTGGTATACTCTTGACATCCAGCTGCTTGTGTGTTCCTCTGCCCATGTGCTCCTCTTGACGTCCAGCCACTTGTGTGCCTGCGTGCTAGGGTTTCAGGGGATTTTATAGGCACAGGATAGGGGCATGGGAGGCCAGGGTGGTCTTGGGAAATGCAACATTTGGGCGTGAAGGCAGGAGTGCCCGTCTTCACCTAGGTCCATGGGCATAGGCCAGGGGTGGAGCCTTCACCAGGAACCTGCCCTCTTCCTCCCAGCACTTCCCTGCCTGCTTTCCATATGGGTGGGAGATTGGGATCCAATTGTAATTTTGTCTATGTGGATAATCAGTTACCACACTACGTTTCTCTGTGATCTGCGGTATTAACTCTTTCACAAATCAAGATTTTATACATGTATTAATGTATGTCTGCTCCTTTGCTTTCTATCCTATTTTATTGGCTTATTCATACCCAGAGTCCTTGAGTTTTATGGTATTTTTAGCTATCTGGATGAGTCCTCCAACCTCATTCTTCTTTAAGATTATCTTTGATACTCTTACTCTTGGTCCCTGATGTGTCTATATACATTTTAAAATCTACCTCTCAGGGCCGAGCGAAGTGGCTCCTGCCTGTAATCCCAGCACTGTGGGAGGCTGAGGTGGGCCAATCACCTGAGGTCAGGAGTTGGAGACCAGCCTGGCCAACATTGTGAAACCCCGTCTCTACTAAAAATATGAAAAATGAGCCAGATGTGGTGGCGTACACCTGTAATCCCAGCTACTCGGGAGGCTGAGGCACGAGAATTGCTTGAACCCAGGAGGCGGAGGTTGCAGTGAGCCGAAATTGCAGCACTGCACGCCAGCCTGGGCAACAGAGCAAGACTGTCTCAAAAAAAATAAATAAATAAAATGAAGTAAAATCAACTTCTCAGGTCACTTGCAGACACACAAACACATACACACCCACACACAATTACTGTTTTTATTGGAATTGCGTTGCATTTATAATCAGTTTGGGGAGAATGTCATCTTTATAATATGGAATCCTCTAATCTATGAGCATAGCACATCTCCTTTGTTTGTTTGTTTGAGACAGATTCTCACTCTTATCACCCAGGCTGGAGTGCAATGACACGATCTTGGCTCACTGCAACCTCTGCCTCCCAGGTTCAAGTGATTCTCCTGCCTCAGCCTCCAGAGTAGCTGGGAATACAGGCATGCACCACCTCACCCGGCTAATTTTATATATTTTTAGTAGAGACAGGGTTTCTCCATGTTGGTCAGGCTGGTCTTGAACTCCCAACCTCAGGTGATCCACCCAGCTCAGCCTCCCAAAGTGCTGGGATTACAGGTATGAGCCACTGCACCCAGCACCACATCTCCTTTTTAAGGCATATCTTTTTTTTAAAACAACATCTCCCTATTAAAAATATGAAATACCAATGTAGAAAAAAAAGAACCTTGATCTCTATCTCACATTATACACAAAAATTAATTTGAAATGGATCATAGACCTCAATGTAAAAGCTAAAACCATAAAGCTTCTAGAAGAAGACATACGATATGTTTCTTAGGTAGAGATTTCTTAGGCCATAGAAAGCATGAATCATAAAAGAAAAAAATTGATTAAATAGTGGACTTTGTCAAAAATTTTAAAATTCTGCTCATCAAAAGACATTATTAAATAAGTTGGCAAGCCACAGACTAGAAGAATGTGTATGCCATGCATGTGTATGACCAAGGAAAAGCAACCTATTAAAAATGAGGAAAAATCTTGAACAGATACTTCACAAAGGGTCATACCAATGACCAAAGCACATGAAAAGTGTTCAACATCATTCGTCGTCAAGGAAATGCAAATCAAATTAATGGGAGATACACCATTGCGTATACCCACAAGGATGGCTACAAAGGAAGGAAAAACAAAACAACAGCAAATGTTGAAAGGAATGTAGAAATCTCCATCAGAAATCTACCTTATTTTTGGGAGTGTAAAATGGTATAATTATTTTGGGAAACTGTCAGTTTCCTAAATGATTAGACATGTATTACAGTTTTACTCTCAGATATTAATTCAGGAGAAATGAAAACATGTTCTTAAAATGTCTTATATAAGAATTTTATAGCAGCTTTATTCATAATAGTAAAGAAAAAAGGAAAAAAAAAAGGTAAAGAACCCATGCCTGTCAAGAGGAAATCAATAAACATACAGATTCATGTAGTGGAATACTACTCAACAGAAAAAGAACCAGATTGATATGTTAAATAACATGGATAAATTTCATAAACTCTGTGCTGAGTGAAAAAAGCGAGACAAAAAAATGTATTATTATATTTATACGAAATGCTAGAATAGACAAAACCAAACTGTGATGATAGAAAGCAAATCAGAGGTTCCTTTGTGGGGCAGGAGTTTGCTGGGAAGGGGCATGGAGGATCTTTGTGGGATGATGGAAATTTTCTGAGTCTTCATAGGGGTGTGGAGTACGAGTGTATGTGTTTGTGGGTCGAATGGTACACTTGATCAGAGCATTTTGTTGTGTGTAAAAACGTTTCAATTTTTTAAAAATGCAATACTCTGGATTTCAGTTAATAGGAACATAACATGTAGAGTTGATAAAAATGGGTAGGTTAGGGAATATTTATGTCACCCCTTCAGAGTAATTCTTTAATAGTTACGGAGACCGTATGTTCCTAAATGCCATATTTAGCTTGAGCTTTTTGGTCAGTGGTGCAGTCTGAGGAGCTATTTTACTTTCATAGTTCAAGAGAAGTTTTTATAAAGTTGAAAAAGATAATTCTTACAAGTTCAGCAAGCATTGGATTTCCAGAACTTCACATGCCAAGACTGTGCTTCTCACAACCGTACTCCAAACCAGTGGTTCTCAATCAGGGGCCATTTTGTCCCACAGGGTATGTTTGGCAATGTCTAAAGACATTTTCATTGTCATGATTGTTGGGGAGGGGTGTTGTGCTGCTAGCATCTAGTGAGTAGAAGCCACGGAGGCTGCTAAACATCCCACAATGCGTAGGACGGCCCCCTGAAACAAAGAGTTATTTGGTCCAAACTGTCATTGGTGCCAGGGTTGGGAAAGTTTGTTCTAGACCTGCCCTTATAACTGAAGCTGAGTCAGTGTCAGTCAATCAGGTGTTGACTCTATTTATGGTTCAAATCAATTGTGGAAACTTGGCATTTGCACAGATTACATATTTCTTCCCTGATAGAATTTCGTATCAAATATTTGTAAACATGCATAAATTTTGAGATAAAAGTTCATGGATTGAGAGCACTTCAGAAATCAAAATTATCATTTATGTTGATTGTTAAACAAATAACTGTACTTATCTTCCTTTTTTTAAAAAAGGCTTTATTATCAGATCAAAGGGAATAAATGGTAATAACTTTTTTCCTCCTTCTTTCCCAGAATGACAGGGAGAGAGTTTTTCTCTCGTTTCCCAGAACTCTATCCTTTTCTTCTCAAACAGTTGGAAACTGTAGCCAATGCAGTAGACAGGTAAGAAGAGAATTGGGTGGGGCAAAATGAACTCAAGGATGTGAATTACCTTAGTAATTGAGATTTTCCCTTTAGGCAACTGTTTTTAATACAGTTCTTCCCTTTTTAAAATTTGTTTAAATGTTTTCCTTGAGACAGGGTCTTTCCCTGTCTTTTAATACAGTTCTTCCCTTTTTAAAAATTTGTTTAAATGTTTTCCTTGAGACAGGGTCTTTCCCTGTCACCCAAGCTGGGGTACAGTGGTGGCCACCACTCCCTGCCCATTTTTGTATTTTTTGTAGAGATAGGGTTTCACCATGTTTCCAGGCTGGTCTCAAACTCCTGAGCTCAAGCAGTCTGCCCACCTGGGCCTCTCAAAGTGTGGGGATTACAGGCTTGAGCCACTGTGCATGGTCAGACTGCTTCCTTGTAATAAAATTGACTTTTTATTAAAGTACTTTTTTATAATTATATCATATTGCTTGATTCTCTGTAGTAAATTTGTACCTGAAAAGTTGTGTAAAATCCTGTCTTTATATTTTAAAAATCCTATTTTATGTTAAATTTTATCAAACTTAATTCCATTTTCAGTGGTATAGAAACTAGAAATCACATGGTGATTTCTTCTATTATGAATTATTTTCTTCCAATTTTTAAAAAAATCTGTGTTTACATATTGAGTTTGCTTTATGCATACCTGTCATTTTATATTACTGGCTTGTTGCAACTTACCATTGTGAAACTATAGCAATTAGCTGACTAATATGATCACTTGTATTCAGAAATGGTTCTGGTCTACCTGAGCGAAACTGGCCAGTGTCCTTGGAAACACAGAGCAAGGCCATTACGAGGGCTTCCAGTCTTATAGTTCACCATTGTCTTAAAAATCACATTCTAGCTGGCGCAGTGGTTCACGCCTATAATCCCAGCACTTTGGGAGGCCGAGGCAGGTGGATCACCTAAGGTCAGGAGTTCGAGACCAGCTTGGCCAACGTGGCAAAACCCCATCTTTATTAAAAATACAAATATTAGCCAGGCGTGGTGGTGCATACCTGTAATCCCAGCTACTTGGGAGGCTGAGGCAGGAGAATCACTTGAACGCAGGAGGCAGAGGTTGGCGTGAGCTGAGTTCTTGCCACTGTACTCCAGTCTGGGCGACAGAAAAAGGCTTCATCTCAAAAAAACAAACAAAAACACACACACACACACATTCTAAAGCTGGTAGTGGAATTTTTAGTATGTACTTCATAAAGCATGTGTTTTGTATTTTTCCTATAATTTTGCACTTGGTATGAATGTACACTAATTGTCTATAATTAGAAAACAAAAGTAATGAATTTTACTTCTGTTTATGATGTATTTGCTCACATTAGTAGTTTATGCAAATATGCTTTTCTGACATTTAGTGACTGTTCATGCTTTCTTAAATACATTTGGATGTTGAAAGTTTCACATTTCATACCCTGGAACAGGCACCTCTCTACTATAGGAACAATTCTAATTAAAGTAGCGTACTCTAATTATGCAAATGATTAGCTTTGAGAAGAGGATCCTGTACAAAAGCCCAATTCCCTGTTTTGCTAGCAGTTTTTTCTTATTATGTACATTTGGGAGATAAGAAGTGAACATAGAAAAAAAAAAGAAAAGAAAAAGGGAAAACTATCCCCTTGATTGTGGAGTCTCACTTTATATACATATTTTTTTTTTTTTGAGATGGAGTCTCACTCTGTCACCCAGGCTGGAGTGCAGTGGCACGATCTTGGCTTACTGCAGCCTCCGCCTTCTGGGTTCAAGTGATTCTCCCACCTCAGCCTCCTGAGTAGCTGGAATTACAGGTGTGCGCCGCCACACCCAGCTAATTTTTTGTATTAGTAGAGATGACGTTTTACCATATTGGCCAGGCTGGTCTTGAACTTCTGACCTCAGGTGATCCACCTGCCTTGGCCTCCCAAAGTGCTGGGATTACAGGCAGAAGCCACCGTACCTGGCCATATACATAATTATTTCATGAGAGACATGTTTGAAGGAGGAGTGCTTCACTACCTAAATGTGAAATCTTTTATGTGTAATAATTGTTTTTTCAGTGATATGGGAGAACCAAATCGTCATCCAAGCATGTTTCTCTTACTTTTGGTGTTGGAGAGACTCTACCCTTCTCCGATGGATGGTACTTCTTCTGCTCTCAGCATGGGACCTTTTGTTCCCTTCATTATGAGGTAGTGTCATGCTGTGTGGAAATGGTCAAGGTGGACGTGGAAGTTTTATGGGAATATTTTATCTTGTTCTTATTTCAGAAGCTATTTTATATATATATATATGTATGTATATATAACTGTCATATATATATATTTTTTATATATATATATATTTTTTGAGATGGAGTCTCGCTCTGTCACCCAGGCTGGAGTGCAGTGGTGCGATCTCAGCTCACTGCAAGCTCCGCCTCCTGGGTTCACACCATTCTCCTGCCTCAACCTCCCAAGTAGCCGGGGCTACAGGCGCCTGCCACCATTCCTAGCTAATTTTTTGTATTTTTAGTAGAGACGGGGTTTCACCGTGTTAGCCAGGATGGTGTCAATCTCCTGACCTTGTGATCCGCCCACCTCGGCCTCCCAAAGTGCTGGAATTACAGGCATGAGCCACCACGCCCGGGCATATTATATATATATTTATTAATGTATATATAAACCTATTGTATATATTATATATAAAACTATTATATATTATATATAAAACTTTTGTATTTAAGTATTTTTTATATATACATATATATAAAAAACTATTTTATACACACACGCGCGCGCACACACACACACACACACACACACAATACTTTGAGCGGGGTCTTGTGAAAGCAGAGGCTTGGGTTTTCTTGTCATTGCCCCCAGTATTTCAGAGGACGGTGCTTATATCATGGGTACAGGATCTCATTAGAACCTGTGTAAGTAATGTTTTCCTTGAGCCCTGTCTGCTCCAAGGCAGGTGGGTGGATGGTGTTGATAGAAGATACTCTTTTTGAAAAACATGGCCCCGTGTTTGCGTTATTCCTGTGTTGAGCCTGGCCAGCACGGGGCAGGCTTGGTTCTGGTATATATCTTCTGTCCATGGGTTCAAGAGGACATCAGGACATCTGACTCTTCACTCTGGAGGAGTCTGCGAGGCGGTGCAATGGGTGGCATGTAAATGGTAATGCCATGTAGCATGAATTCCAACTCATCTTCTCTTTCAAGCTTGTAGTACCTGAAAAAAGCCATGAATATAGAGTATTCATGGAATAATATAACAGAGTTCTCTTCTTTTAGAGCCTTTTACCACTTCTTGTGTTACATCTTTTCAGGCATTTGCCATCTTCTGATTACTTTGTTCATTTTGGATCAAAGGCCTAAATATGTAGGCCTCCAAGAAGTATTAAAATTTTCTCATGAAACCTTTCAGAAACCTGTCATATTAGTTAGCTCTTACCTTTCTGCTTACCTCTTGACAAAACAGTACCTTCATTTTTGTGTTTCTACCAAAAATTGAAATGGCTTTGGGGCAGAAGCGTAAGAAACTAAACTCAAGAGAGTGTTTCTTATGTATGTGGTGTCCTGGGTTCCACTTCCTTGTTTCACAGAGCTGACTTATGCATTTTAATGTGAGAAAACCATTAAACATGAGATTCTGGCATGTGCTTGCTGGAGCTATTTGTTTGCCCCAAGCCCTGGCTGTGGCTGTGTTATCTTTGATCACAGAGATGACTCATGCAGACTGGTTTTTGTTTCCTGATATACAAAGTTACCAATCTCCTTCATCTAGCATTTGGTGATTCATTTTGGGAATTTGGGTGGTAAATTTTACTTTCAGGGGCCTTAAAAATTGTTCTTTCATGAATAACTGGAAAGAACTAAGAAATGTTTTCAGAAAGTTGATGCAAGGAGGAAAGGCATGTGCACAGCATTGCAGTTTACATTAGAAACAGAGATTTGCTTTAGAACCTGTCCTCTGTCTTAAGAATGTTGAATTTGTAGAAGCTTTTTACTACTCAATCTGTTGTTCATTGCATCCTAGAAATAATATATTACTACATCGAAAGTACCTTTCCAAAATGTTGCTTAGTTTACGTATAACCAGAATGCTGATACTACTCATTATGTTCAAAGTATCTGTTATTTTTTTTTTTTTTTTTTTTTTTTTTTGGAGACGGAGTCTCGCTCTGTCGCCCAGGCTGGAGTGCAGTGGCCGGATCTCAGCTCACTGCAAGCTCCGCCTCCCGGGTCTACGCCATTCTCCTGCCTCAGCCTCCCGAGTAGCTGGTACTACAGGCGCCCGCCACCTCGCCCGGCTAGTTTTTTGTATTTTTTAGTAGAGACGGGGTTTCACTGTGTTAGCCAGGATGGTCTCGATCTCCTGACCTCGTGATCCGCCCGGCCTCCCAAAGTGCTGGGATTACAGGCTTGAGCCACCGCGCCCGGCCCAAAGTATCTGTTATATAAAACAAAGATTGCATTAATATAGAAGATTTAAATATTGCTTTGAAGCCAGTGTACATAGGGCATCATTTGTTAACCTCTAAAAATACAAAGTAAGAAGTTTGCAATCAGTCTATTCTTCCAGTGAAAATGCTGCGGTTTGTAGTTGCTTTCTTCCAGTAAGTAAGGTGCTCTATGAAGTAGATTCATAGAACATCACCAACAGCAGAAGTGCCACCAACCAAAATACAAGGCTATTTTTGTGTAACAGAAAGAGCACATCTAGCACTCCTGACAAGCCCTGCACTCTTGGGTTCAAATTCTAGCTCTGTAACTGCCTTGCTCTCTGAACCTCAATTTCCGCAATGGGCAAATGAGGGTGGTAACACCTCTTCTCAGAGTCACTGTAACCAAAATGCCCTGTAAGCAGAAGTACCACCATTGATTCCTTAAGTACAGAGTCTTGGCTCTGACTTATTGAGTGTCCATGTGTGTTAGAGAACCGTGTTTCTAAAACTTCAAGATGTAAACATACCACTTGGCGATCATATAAATTCTGATTTCAGTAAATCTGTGGTGAGGCCTGAGAGTCCAACTTTCAAATGGTCTTCCAGGTAATGCCAGTGCTGCTGGTCTGTAGATCACATTTTGAATAGCAAAATTAAACTTGGGATATTAAATTTAATACCATCACACACACATGCACACATACAGTTTCAACAAGCTAGACAGCAGTAGCTTATTAAAATTGATTAGGCAATTTAAGGGGTTTATTAAGAAGTAGATTTTGACCCAGGAATGCAGAAAACAAAGTGTTCTGAGTAGAGAAGTCAGTAGGAAGTAGACCAACCTTTGTTGAGCCCCATCTTTTTGCCAAGTAGTGAACTGGGCATTTTGCTTACAGTGACTCTGAGGTGTTATCACCTTCATTTGCCCGTTGAGGAAATTGAGGTTCACAGAGCAAGGCAGTTACAGAGCTAGAATTTGAACCCAAGAGTGCAGAACTTGTCAAGGGTTTTAGATGTACTCTTTCTGTTACACCAAAATAACCTTGTATTTTGGTTGCCTTTTGAATAGCCAGCAACTTAGCTACACTGAATGACCTATAGGGTCTGAAATGGATGCAACTGGGAGAGATGAGGAGCCTATATCCACAGTTGGTGCATCTGAATACAGGCTGTCTTCTGGATATAGATGTAATGTCTCTACCAGTGGTGGGATCTGTTCCTTATTTTGCTTTTCCTGTAGGAAAAGTGGCTGATTGGATTGGTTAACCACATGTGGCACATGGTGACAATCGCCTGTGGCTATAGGATTGGTTTGTGGCCAGATACAGAGGAAGCCTGACTCTTCTTTCTTGGCCACCTTCTATGGTAAAGTGGAAGGCCCTAGATTTAGTTAGTTTGGGGTTTCATCAACCTACCACAGGGACAACTCCTGCTACCCCAAAATGTTCACTGGTGAGGTGAACTATAAATAGATTTTTTAAAAAGAGTGAATGTGATAAAACTGTATGCATTTGATTTAGATGACCTCTGAGAAAATTATTCATGAAGAAAGTGAAAGGCTGATCATAAAACCTATCATTCCAGGCAGTGTTTGTGATCCTGATTGTGATGAAGGGTGGGCTGTTTTGACTTGGGGTAATAGCTAAAAAGATGGATGGGTGTATGTACAGTGGATCAACAGTGTTTTATTTTTGTACCATTGTTAAGGGTAATTTATGTACTTTGGCCGGGCGCGGTGGCTCACGCCTGTAATCCCAGCACTTTGGGAGGCCGAGGCGGGCGGATCACAAGGTCAGGAGATCGAGACCACGGTGAAACCCCGTCTCTACTAAAAATACAAAAATTAGCGGGCGCGGTTGTGGGCGCTGTAGTCCCAGCTACTCGGGAGGCTGAGGCAGGAGAATGGCGTGAACCCGGAGGCGGAGCTTGCAGTGAGCCGAGATCGCGCCACTGCACTCCAGCCTGGGCTGGGCAAGAGCGAACTCCGTCTCAAAAAAAAAAAAAAGGGTAATTTATGTACTTCGAAGAGTTCTCATCGGGCTCATGGATACTATGAGTTTGGCTAAAGAAAAAAGTTTCAGTTTGTGGGAGTAGTGCAAAGGTTGCTCTGACTGCTAAAAGTGAATTGCACAATGAGAAGAAGATTAAAAGCGCCAACGACAGCTTTTTGTTTCCCTTTGATCTTTGTCTACTTACCTGCTATTTCCTTCCTCTCTGTAAGGTATTTGAAAGTATTATATGTAGTTTTACTCCTTTATCCCATGTTTAAGAGTATGTCTAAGCTTATTTCTCTGTTGATTTTCTCCATTGATTTAAGTCTTAGAAGTTACTGATTTGGATTTTCCAAAGTTATACATGTATGGCATTATGATTGTTGCATCCTCTTGGGTCAGAATTTATAATGTCAATCCCAACATCTTGTATACAACTTTTTAAAAGTCCAGTGTATTTTATGTTCTGATGTTGTGCTGCATCCAGATACACAGCCCTTTACCATGTGAATGTAATGCCTTCAATTTAAGACCATTAATTCATTCTTCAGTTCAGATACCACAAAGCAGAGTGATTCATGCTTTACAAAGAACCTTGACTGGCTCTCTGAATGCAGCTCACCAAGGCCTGCTTCTCTGGGCTTTGTAGAGTCTAGAAAGTCTTTTCAGAGGCCAAAAAGTCCCTGGGCATGCATTTCTGAGTTCCCTTTCACAAGCAAGTTTCAAGTTCCAACCGAAGAGCTCTAAGTAACCACATATGCCTCAAACC